GATCGAACTCACGACCTTAAGATTATGAGACTTACGCGCTGCCTACTGCGCTACCGAGGCGCTGTTAAACATTTTTCTTTTTTATCTATTTAACTTTATTTTTTTTCAATATTAAATTAAAATTATATAAAATATATTATTATTTATTATAAATTTATATAAATAAGTTCTTAACATTATAAATTTAAAATTTTTAAAAGCGAAAAAAATTTTTTCTATTGATTGCTAATATATATCAAATATAGTTCGTAATGATTTAACTCAGATGTCGCCACGTAATAGACATGAACATTTAGGGTATTCAAATCAGATTCTTTTGATATTGGTATAAATGCTCTGCTACGATCGTTAAATTATACAGGATAGAAAGGACCCGAATGTAAACTGTCAAAACTGTTTTTTGTGAATTCTCAAACTTACGAATTTCTAAATCAATACAGGGTAAGACAATATGACAGATAATATGACAGACGCTGAAAGCTTAAGGGAAGCAATCGCACAATATGAACAACAGGTATGAATTACAATTTCATCGATGTTTTACCAAGAAATAGTATAACCTTCTATATAAATTTTAGAATTAATTTTTATAATTTAATTTAAATATTTTTATAATTAATTTTTTAATTATAAAAATTCCTTTGATATCTGTATTCTAAACATTTTTTAACCACATTAGTTAGCTCAAGTTCAAGCAACCTTATCCGTAACTACGCAAGAAGCGGATAGGGAAAATTTATTAAGTTTACAATCGGACATACAAGAACTCATTACTTTAACAAAAGAAAGTTTACAAGGTGTGGAAACATCCAGTGAAGATTTAGATGATGATGATGATGATGATGATGTCGACGGCGATGATGATATGGACGATCCATTGGCAAAAGAATATGCCTTGTTTAAGGTGATTTTTTCCAAATTTCATTTCATTTCAAAAAAGGGAAATGGGAAAAGGATACAAGGGATTCAAGAAAATAATCCTATATCATTTCTTTTGATGTAAATTCATTAGGCAGAACTGGAGAAAACTTCAAATGATTCTGAGAATAAAGAACAGGATAAACAAGATGATGGAGCTTCAAATAATATAGAAGTCAGTATGCAAGTATTCTATATGGCATAGAAATGACACAATTATACGGTGCAAGTTCATCTTGTAGGATGAGTTGAGGCAGCTTGAAGGCATGAAATGTAGAGCTCCTCATGGTAGCAGTTGGGGTGGCATTGGTTATCATAATGCTATGATATGCTCTGTTTATCAAAATGATAGGACAAAAATAAAAAATATGCAAGATATAAAGGTAATAGAAGAATTAGTTGTAATTAGATTTAATTAAATTAATACTAATTTGAATATTCTTTTAAAAAATAACAGGAAACTTTCTTTATTTACATTTATTACATAATTCTAAGGATTTAAATATAAATTATTATCTAGGTCAGAGTACTTTTTCTAAATCCAACACATAAAGAAATGCTTCCATGTCCATATTATTTGGATGGAAAATGTAAATTTTCTGATGAAGATTGCAGATTTTCACATGGAGAATTAGTATCATTATCTAGCATACAAGAATATAGGTAAATAGATTTCTATTTAATAGTAAAAATACAAACAAAAATCAAAAACAAGATCTTTATTTATAGAGAGCCTGATTTTCAAAGTATAAAAATGGGTAGTAGAGTATTAGCAAAACAAAAAAATCAGTTATGGCATAGATGCATTGTATTAAAAATGCCTGAAAAAGAAGGAGATGTTTTCAGAATTAAATTTGAAGCAAGTGGTAATATCACAGAAGTTTTTCTCCAAGATCTTTTACCACTTGGTATGTATTTTATTAACTAGTTATATATTCAAATTTAATTTTTTCATATTTATTTCATTTAATTATTTCATGTTATTATAGATGATACAGATTTGGAGATGTCAGATACATCTGATGATAGTGATGGTGAAAGTGATTCAACAGAATATTCTAAAGAAGAAGTTGTTCATAAATCTCTTTTGACAGTAGAAAGTAACACACCTTTAGGAAATTGGGAAAAATATACACGTGGTATAGGTAGCAAGTTAATGGCTCAAATGGGATACGTAGCAGGTACTGGACTTGGAAAACATTCAGATGGAAGAGTAGAACCAGTTGAAGCAACAGTATTACCAGCTGGTAAATCTTTAGGTATATATTATGATTTGTTTATTATTATATTGTTAAAAAATATGTATATATTATTTAATTAAAAACATTTATATTTAGATCATTGTATGGAACTGCGAGAAAATGCTGGTGGAGATAAAAATTTATTTTCTGTAGAACGTAAAATGCGAAAACAACAACAAAAATTAGAACAACAAAGAGAAAAACAATATCAAAGAGAAAAAGAACGAGAAGAAAATAATATCTTTAATTTCATAAATGCAACTTTAGGTGATAAACGTATGTTTCATTTTTCTAAAAAAAATGTTCTATATTTTTTAGATTATATTCTAATTATTTTATTAAATTTTTAATAAAAATAATAATATAAATTTTTAATAATTCTTTATATTTGCAGCTAAAAATGAAATACAAAAAAATATTTCAAAAGGTAAAAATAATCTCAAGACAGAATCCAATCGACAATTAAATGTAGCAAGTTTACAAATTGGGGAAACTATTTTAAGATTAGAAAGAGAATCGACGAAATTAAAAGAATCATTGACAAGACATGCAAAAGGAAGTGTTCATTATAACAACATTATAATGAAATATAATGAGAAACAAAAAGAACTTGTTAGTTTAAGAGCATCTGAAAAAAGTATTGCTGTTGAACAAGATCAACGAAAAAATAGAGCTAAATTATCAATATTTTGATGTATATATATATATGCAATTTTAATTTACTATAAGAAATTAGCTTATATATATTATCTATTAATATGTATAAAAAATATAAATAAATAAACCTTATAATATAACAATATTTATTTCGTCAATAATTTTATTTTTATATTACATATAATTAATGATTTTAAATATTTATAATAGTATTATAGTAGTATTATATGATTTATATATAACTAAGATTTACAAGACAATATTCAATATGGCCACGTCCAATATCAAGTATAGTATTTTTAAAATTATAATATTATTATTCAGTTAGAATAATATTAATTATATTTTAATTTTTTCAACTTATAAATATATATTAAAATTGATATATTGTTATTTATAGGATTGAAGATTGTGAAGTATGCGGTGAAAATAAAGCAAAATATACATGTCCAAAATGTGAGGTTAGGACTTGTTGTCTTCAATGTATAAATATTCATAAAAAAGAATTAGAATGTGATGGTATTCGAGATAGAACAAAATTTATACCATTAAAATCATTTACGGATTTAGATATTTTGAGCGGTAAGTTGAATTTTATAAATCATTTAAAAAATTTTTTAAATATTTATTATTTTATAGATTATAGACTTCTTGAAGAAGTAGGTAGAACAGTTGATCAATTGAAAAGAGATCCATTTAAAAAATGTACACGTCGAATTAATTTACCAGTGGTTTGTTAAAATATTAATTTCTTTTATATATGTAATCATATGGAATCATATAGAAGATTTATGTTATATATTATCATTACAGCATCTGAATAAATTAAGAATAGCTGCAATCAAAAGGAATATTACTTTGCAGTTTATGCCACAACATTTTAGTAGGCATAAAAATAATACAACATATTTAAATTGGAAAAGTAATGAATTATATTGGAGAATAGAATGGATTTTCCCTCAAGCAGAATGTACAAAATGGATTACAGAAAGGTAAAATTTCTCTTCATATTTATATAAAACACACGCGCACACACACACACACACACACACAATAATTCATTATCATAATGAATATTACAATTATTACAGAGCTTTAGAATCTATAAGATTATCATCGCTTTTAGAAGAGATTTTATACCCTATTAAATCAGTAAAAAATAAAAATGATATAGAGGAATTAAATCTAAGAATATCTTTAAATGAGAAATTACAATTTTATCAGGCAGCTGGATTATATGGAATAAAAGTTCTTTTAAAAGCAGAAAAAGTTGTAAAATCAAATTTAAAGTAAGTATATTTAATCTCTAATCTAATCTTTTAAATAAAATGAATTACTAAATTGTTAATGAAATAGGTTTTATGAATTGGACATTACACTTTCATTAAAGGAAAATTTAGAAAATAAAATTATAATTGAATTTCCAGTAATATATGTAATTTTGAAAGATCATTCATATATGTATGAAATAATAGATACAGGTATGTTTTTCATATATAATTATTGTCTTTTAAAATTATAATTTTTTTTATTTTATAATATATGAATTAATATTTTATATAGATGATGAAGATGAAAATATTTCAAAATATACTATTCATAATAATATATTAAAAAAAAATAAAGGAACATGCAATCAAACAAATATAAAAGAAAAAAAGTCAACTGTGAATTATTTTTTTAATTCTGATTTTTCTGATTCTGAAGAAGAAAAACTAAATGATGATCAAAAAAATGAATGTTTATCAAATTTTAATATTCCCAATTATGATGAATTAATTAAAATGGGACAATAAAATATCTTTTTATTATACATTGTAAAATTTTATAGATAAATCGATTGTTTTTCTTTTTTAACTTGAATTAATATACAAATTCAATTTTTTTTATTATATAAATACAACATTTCAATTGATTAATACAACTGAATTATGTATAAATAAAATAATATTAATGAGTCATTGATTCCACATCCAAAAATGTAAATACATAAACATATATATTTAATATTTTCAAATTTCAGAGAATAATAAAATCACAGGAATAAATTTGTTTTATTTTACTGTTTTTTAAACAGTAAATTATTAAGAATTTTATAAATTATATAAAATCATATATATATATGATTTTATCATTTTATCATATATATATATATATATATGATAAAATATCAATCTTGAATATAATATTTTTTTGGCTTATAAATAAAATAAAAAAATAACATAATTTTTAATACAACAATAACAATGATTGTATATATTGTCTTATTTTTTATGGAATACTTAATATTATTTTTTACTAAATTAAACCAAATATAATTAATTACATAAAGAACTGTTATATTTACTGCATGATAATATATGAAAGTCATATCTTGAACGATATCAATATCATTATATTCCTTGCGACTAGTATTTCTCTGAATACAATATATGTACATTGTTTTTAATTTTAAATAGACTTAACATTTAAATATATCATATGGAAAAGTAAATTCGCAGAAAAAAAAATATTTGCTATACCCAAAAAAAAAAAAAGAATATGGGGAATAATAATGATAAAAACCAGGTTTTAGATAATAATTAATATATCAAATAAATTGAAGAACTAAAGAATAAAAAAATATAACAGGAAGACTAAAAATGCAACAAGTCCAGCCACAGCCTTTACATACATAGACTTGCTATTTAAGTAAGTTGCATCCTTTTTATATTTTTGTGATAACATGGATAAATTTTGTGTCTTTGTGTCTAGTTCTGCAAAATAAATAATAATTCAGTAAAAAAATTCTTAAATGAGATTAAATTTATATATAAAATATATACATATATTATATTATTACCTGAAAGAACTGTACCCCTCTGTAAAACATCATCTATATTTTGAACCATGATTCTCTGTACATCTTGTAGTTGGCTGTTGAGTGCATTCATATTTCTTCTTGACCTACCATCCAAAAAAACTTTCTTTGCTTTTTGAATATATGTATCTGAAAAAAAAAAATTTTAAATATAGAACAAAAACTAAATTATAAAATATAAAATATAAAATAGAGAAAGGAAAGTAGTACATACTGAATTCAATAAAACTATAGGGCCTAGTAACTGAATTAACACGTCTACCATATAATGAATGAAATTCTTGTGCTATGTCTTCAAGATAACTATATGCAATCCGTTTACTATAATTCTTTTCACACAATACCAAATAGCATACATCATTTTCAATTAAATAACTGTAAATTAAAACAACTGATAATTTATTATTATATAATTTATAAATTGTAATATGAAGAAACTTACTGGAATAAATATGGACCTGTTTCTATAGTACATCTAGTTGGAGATTGAGGTCCTAATCTTCTAAATAACATTTTTGCTTGATTTTGATATTCTAAAATACTTCTTCCTGTCTAAAAAGAATTAAAAAATAATTAATAAATAAAAATTTTTTTATTTATTTAATAAACATAATATTAATTAAAAATATTAATATCATTTAAGTTTATATTTTATAATATTTGAAAATATTATAAAAACAAATTTGAAAATAAACATATTAAACAAAAATCAATAAAAATAATAAAAAATCAATAATTTTTAATTGATTAAAAATCTTATAGTTGGATATTTTAATAAAAAATATTAATATATTATTTTAATCGATAATTTATAAGTAAATTACAATTATATAATTATATTTTTAAAAAAATCATATAAAATAATTTGTTATATAAATAAATAAAAATCAAAAAATTTTTTAAATTCAACAGTAAATTGACGTTTCATCATAACAGATTTCTAACCTGTTCATCTTCTTGCATGGTTGCTGCTAATGGTAAACCATCTATTATCCTTGCAATCATTGTTAACAATACCATTTTAGCAGAGTTTAATTAATTTTTTCACCAAAAATGTAGAAAAAAATATTAAAATCTTTGTCAAATAATCAATTCTTCACCACCTGCAATCCATTTACGTAGAACTGGCCACGGTGTGACCGCTTCGTTTAATATCCACGATCCACTCTCAGTATACCACGTCAGTCACTGTGGAACATTTTAAAGCTTCCATTGAATATATTATAACTATATTTTTCATATCAATCGTTTTTATATTCTATGATTAATTTAATTAAAAATATTCGAAATAATATAATATTAACATTAATAATTTATATTAGAAATAAAAAAATTGCAATAAAATGAACAAAAATAAATAAATAATTATAAGATTTATAACTATTTGTTTCATATCAGATAAATAATATCTTATTATGTTTTAATATTTTGAAATTTTTTATAAATTTTTAAAAATAATTATTTTATCTTTATTAACAAGTTATTAATTAAATATTTTTGTACTTTATAAAATTATTTTAAATCATATTTTTATTTTATAAAATATTTTAAATTATATTACAATGCCATCTAACGAGATTTTATTGGAGATCTTTTTGACGTTTGAGATCAACGCGTCCGCGCTGTGCGCGTCTATGGTTCTGCTCGCGTGGAAAGTCAACGAGAAAAATTCGTGACGTGCTTAACCCACATCTTTCTTATAGTATTCATAAAATGTCTACATATTTGTGATTTTTTCATTTTGTTTCGTAAAAATTTGATTTACGTCGATAAACGATTGATTTTATTAAAGTAACGATTCGAATGTTTTGTGCGAAAAAATAATGCTTATTCTCGCGTATGGATACCAGTGCCAGACACGATAGTTAGGTGAGTGAACGTACGAGAGGTCCCTGAACGCTAAGTTGGATATCACAGCTGGTATTCCAACTTTCGACACGATGTTTTCAATTTTTCACCTTTTAGCTTCTTTTTTATCTATTAGTTATATTATTTGCATACAATAACTGCTCTCTCATGATTTTCGTTATATAATTATAGTAATTTTAAACTTTTAGTACAAAAGTTTTAAGGAATTTTATTTTTCAAAATAAACTATTATTAGTATTGATATAAAAATCTTAATTAATTTTTTTATTTAATTGTACTTTGCGAAATGTCATTTTTTAAATACGGAAATATTATTAAAACTATGAAAAATAAATATTTAATGACATGTATCTTCATGTATATTTTCTGTACTATGAGAACATATTTTTATATGTATTTTATTAATTTAAGAATACTTTTTAAAATTATATTTTGAATT